TGTTTCTCCTCCCCTTTCCCATCATTGCCACCTGCGCTTGCTTGTGTGACAGGCAGAGAACTGTTGCTTCCGTGGCTGTAGGATCTTTTGATGCCCCTCTCAGCACCAGGGTTGCCGGAGCCAGAGAGAGGAACAGGCGGAAAAGTCCAGTGGTGAAGGGGAGGAGCAACTCCGGGGGGTTTTTGTCAGTGGTCATTCCATGCCTAGCCTTGATGCTGGCCCTGTGCCTGGAAATGCAGGGCACCCGGTCGCTTGCTGGCTCTGTTACTCCGTGGTGCAGGTAGGTAATTTTAGACCCTGGACTTATGGGAGGAGGAGTGGCACATGTATCATTTTGGTTGTGGAACAGACAATCAACCTTTATATTCTGTCCCCATCACACACACCACCACAATGCCATGCTTTACAAGTGCTCCTACATTTCTGATACGTTTCAGCAAAAATACAACAAACCAACGAAGACTTTAAAAATCCCCAATCCTACATGGTCAGGCTCCCTGCCTTTTCATGTTCACAACAACCCAGCAAGGTAGGTCAGGCTGAGAGTCTGTGACTCAACCAAGTCACCCAGCGAGCTCCATGGCCAAGCAGGGATTTGAACCCAGATCTCTCAGTTCCCCAGTCCAACACTTTAACTACTACACTTTAACGATCAAACAAATTAGTTGGACTCCTAACAGTAATTAACCATTTAACCTTGAAAGTTAAAACCAAAACCAAGTGGGCAGCCCTGGCAAAAGAAAGAGGACAGGAAGGATGATGTAAGCAGGAATCTACAATCTCTGGGCTGTATCTGTATAAATAAATAAATAAGGGAGGGAGCAAACTTTTCCCTGGAACAAAGCACCATTTCCTGCTTCAAGGAGGGTCTGTGAAACTCAAGCCTCTACTTGGTGCAGAATGAAAAGGATGCATCACAAACTAGACTTGCAAGGTGCTGTCAAGGAAGACACAGTATGTTCCAGGCAAGTGCCTCGTTTTGTTTCCAGGGGACACTGAAGTGGATTCCTAGTTCCTTATTTGTGAGATAGTTTAAAACAGCTCAGACAGTAAATATAGTAAGAGCTGCAATCTTATACATTTCTACTGAGTAAATATACCTGTGATTATGTTGTTAGAGTATAGGGATAAAAGTATTGTCTGCCAGGGGACCTGCTGTGCTAACTCCCACCTGCTTCTTTTTAAATTCCCTCACCTGCACATCTGGAATTTGCAGATTAATAACTTTTTCCTTTTTAAGGGGCTTGTAAATAATTTGTATTCATTTTCTTAAATCTAGTCCTTGACTCTTGACAGGATTGCATAAGAACCTGACTACAGGCTAGTCTATCCAAAAACTCTTTAAAAGGCAGAAGGCACTTAGGAAATAAAACAAAGCAGTCCCTTTGCCATATCTGTGTGGACCACTAAAATAGGCCACTACTGATTGCCCTTCTATTGCTTTAAGTCCTGTAAATCTGGCCAGGGCGACTTATTTTATATTGTTAATTTGTTTTATATTTTTAATGTATTATATTTTAATTTATGTTGTGAGCCGCCCCAAGGCTTTGGCGAATGGGGCGGCATAGAAATGTTTTAAATAAATAAATAAATAATAAACTGAGACAAAAAAGGCAATTTGGCTAGAAGAGGCTTCTGGTTGAGCAAATAATTTCTCAATGAAGCACCAACAGATTGCCAGGGGAAAAAGTAGTCTTTTATAAAATGCTGGAGGTGTGGCTTAGTGTTGCTGAATTACCCATCTGAAATCTTTGTGCCAGACTAGTAGGGTGGACTGATACAAAGCAAGTCAGGGCTTCTGTACCTCTAACAATTATGTGGAAGAGGAATTCCATCAGGTTGTAGCTTTAAAAAATTCCTTTTTCTGCACTGCTGGTGGGCACAAGGTAAACTGCTAGATCTGGGAGTGCTTTGCAATTGTTGTTAGTCGCGAAGTCGTGTCCGCGACCCCATGGACAACATTCCTCCAGGCCTTCCTGTCCTCCGCCAGCCCCCGGAGTCCATTCAAGCTCACACCAACAGATGAGCAGAAATTTCGGACTCCCAAGGGTTTAGCAATCACAACAGCCCAGTGTCCCCTCCTTCCTTGAATTAGGCTACCTGGATAAAGGAAGCTTGGGAGAAAACTAGGAAAGAACTCTTCTTGCCACTGCCCAGGACACTGTAAATGTTTTGCTTGAGATCCAAGCAGCATGCATCAAGCAGGGTTGGATTAGCAGGTATTCCCTCTCTCTTAGCCAAGGGATCAGTAACACGTCAAATACAGGCCTCACTGGGGACTATGACTGTTGTTTCCCCGCAAACTTCACAAGATGATGCTACACTGAACATGCCTACATTTCTGCCAAATTGCAAATGGGAATGCAAGTAGTTTTTCCTCACTAGAGACTGCCCCAGTTTCCTGCCTGAGAACTCTGGCAACATGGCTGTGACTATTTCTTCCGGGTTGCACTAGGGCAAAGCACAGGAATGGGCAACTTGAAGCCCTCCAGGAATTTTGGCTGGAGACAGTCTAGCCAATTGTGAGCAATGATAGGCTGCTTAAGTTGTCCACCTCAGCTGCAGTTCCTGATGCTGTAAATGCAGGAGCTGCAGCCAGGGTGGGAAGATCTGCTTGGCGAGGTGGTGAAAGTTTTCAGCAGTGCAAAATTATGCATGACATATACCTGGAAATAAATCCATTTAATTGATTGATTTTGCAACATCAAAATATCCACCTCAGGGAGTGGGGTAGATTAAATATGCAAGTCTTAACTTTTGACCCAGGAAGTAAGCACTGGGCAAAGTGCTAGCTGCAGCATGACAAAGCCAAAAAAAAGCCTTTTCATTACCATGGCTCGGTTCCAAAGACATTATGACATACTGTGTACGATCATGGAAGAAAAATAACTTGCATACATGCTGGTTGCTAGCTGCCTGAGTAGCACTGTTCCCCTCATAGGTGGTTGCGACATCTCAGCACCTCAACTGGTGAAGGCGGGTGGCTGGGCTGCTTTACAAACCACCCTGAAAAGCATGGCTTATTCTAGGGTTTTTATGCAGATTGCAAACCTCTCCAGCCAGCCACCCTCAGGGGTCTGAACATCACTGAGACCTACATCTGGTGAGAGTAAATTGCTAATTGGGCCATTTGTGGCCAGCATTTGCAAGGAAGGCAAGTCACAGCAGTTTATTTATCAAGCGCACCTACCCTGTATCTCTGTGGGTGGGTTCATGCAGCACAACAAGCCTGTAGGACTAATGGGTTCTTTGCAGGAGCATCCAAAAGACAATCATGTTTCCCCCAATTTGTTTTTTTCCTGCCTTCACCTTCCTGCCCATCAGACCTCCGCTGGGCAGCAGCATGCGTCCCAGGCATCTTCATAGCAGGACCAGTCTCACAGTTAGTTGCACCACCACTACACCCCCATCTCACTGGTGCATTGCCGCTGCATCGCTATCTTTTTTCCAGTTGGTCCGCTTAGAGAGCTGGGCATGTTTCCTCAAGTCTCCCTCCCACCCGCCATTTTTCCCTGACTGATCCCCACAACACCTTCTTCACCAGAGAACCCTTGCAAGCTTCTCTCTCTTTGCTGCAACTCCTTGCTTTGCCCTTTTTTCTTTGGTTTGGCAATGCATAAATGACCACCCTAGACTGGGAATAGACTAATTGCTCTCCACTCCTTGCAAGCTAGATGCTGAGTGGATAATGCAAAGTCCCAGTTCCAAATTCAGAAACTTGGAGCTTGTTTGGAGCTGGGATTTCAAGCTCAGATTGTCCTCCCATCACCCTCATGGCCAGCACTGAATAAACTGTGCCAGTTGCAACCTCCAGGTCACTCACTCAGCAGTGGGCTTTTGGGGACAGGGAAGGGGGCTGAGCAAGGAAGAGAGAGACTCCATCTCTGTATGCAGTTCCTGGCAGTCCTTCAGCCTCCTCTCCTCATGTTCCAAGGCCAAAACCTCAGGTGCCCCAAACTGGCCAGCTACATATGGTGCATGGAAGGAGGAACACAAAAACAACCTTCATTTCCATGCTCTTCCCACCATGTGTAGGATGCTCATAATCCTCCAAGTTCTCTGGGTTATGGGTAGCCCCTCTGGGTTGTGCTGCTAGCCACAGAGCTTAATCCTGAGATCTGGACAATTCTTACAAAGTGTAGGCAATGCAAAGTTGATTTTGTTTGATGACGTTAGCTGTGTCAGTCTAGTCTACCAAATGCTCCATGAAGAGCAGCCTAGCAAACACTCCAGTGTTATTTACATATGCCAGTTCATATTATTTCTGGAAGATCTTCTTGTAGAAGCAAACTAGAGTGGGTCTTGTCAACAGAATGAAAGAATAAAAACATAGATCCACTGCTCTTGGGGTACATATCAGTGGAAATCAGAATTAAACAAGGCTTGTCTGCAAAGTTCTCAGCTCTAAAGGAACCTCTGAGACACCGGTATCCTGGCTCCACTAATCCCCTCAAAGAAGGTGAGCAGTCCTTTGTTTCATGTAGTGCTTGGCATCCCCATGAGAGTGCTCAGCATGAGCTGAACCCTTGGCTTCACACAGCACCCGGTATCCCCATGGGCTGCTTAACCAGTGCCAGGAATAGCAACCACTATTCTCAGCAATATGTGATGCACCCGAGATCTCTAATCACATATCCGAGAGGCTAAGGATGCAAGATGGCTGGGGCCTGCTGAGAGTTGTAGGCCTACCCTAAAACTTCTTCTTTTGCTGCCTCTGAAGAAGATAAGCTTCTCTTATCACTATTCTCTCCAGTGCAGTAGGGGAACCTCAACCAATTCTGAGAAGAATGAATGCTGCTATCTTTGGCAGTTAATATAATTAACTATATTTCTGCACCACTGAATGGACAAAGCACTCTGCCATAGATATGGTCATTCCTTTGCTTCACTGAGCTTCAGTCACAGTCTTACAGCCAGTGAGGAAATTGGCTGTCAGAATAGCCGCATGGGTTCTTTCTTTTACAGATACTTCCCTAAAACCTGAATATAACTTGCCTTACCTGTTTGGTCAAGTTCAAGAGCAGAATAGGAAACATTCATGGATTTGAACAGATCCTTCACCTACATAAAACATAAATTTCATTAGTAACCAACACTTGGAAACATGCCCAAGAATTTCAACTAGGTTAAAATGCAGCCAGTTGGGCGTTGACTAGTGCGGGTCGCATGGCACCAATGGCTTCCAGTTAGTTCCTAGCATCATGATCTTTACTGTCATTTTTGCTGCTTTTATTATTAATTTATAAAGAGCCCAAATTTTACCAAGTGCTGCATACATTAAATTACCCCCATACAAGACAGTCTAGTCCTTTCTTGCAGCCGGGCTCACAATCTAAGCAGCCAGAATATTGGCAGAGTCTTTCCTCTGAGGCTCAATGTATCTTCTTGTTATGGTTCTGGAAGTCTGCCCAATCTAATTAAACTTTTGGAAACCAAGCTGGCCAAGGCCAACCCTACCAATGGCAAAATGAGGCAGTGGTCTCTGATAATTAATGTGGGGTGCCATGAAAGCACAGTGCTATTAATTATGTGTTGTGTCATTAATTTTAATGCCACAAATGAAACAGGAGTTTAACATATTTTCTGCCTCAGGTGCCAAAATAATTTGGCTTGCCAGGATACCACACAAGTTGACTTGGGAGCGACTCTTGGGGCTGGCAAAGAGTTGCCATTTCCTGCTCCACCTCAGGCAACAAGACATCCTGAAGAATGTGATTTCTTCTAAAAATGATTGCTCATGTTGCAGTTAGCAAGAAAGGATGATTTTTGCTGCCAATACTTTATATTTCTTTTTTTTGTTCAAAGCATAAGGCCAATTTTATGATGACTTTATGGTAAGCCACCTTGAGAACTGTGAGGAGGCAGGGTTGTTGTTGTTGTTTAAAACAAACAATACAAGTGCATTCCTATGGTCATGGAAGGCCATCCCCGAGATCAAAGGACAGCATGAAATAGATCCCTTAGCCTTCACTATTCACAGCCGATATGGAAAATTCTGCAGAGACTCCTCTTCTAAGGTTCCTCTTGCAAGGTTGCTCTTTAAAGAGGGTTGCAGAGAAAGGGGTGGGACGGGGCAGGGAAGGGAAGGGAAAGAGAAACATGGACTCTCTGGATCCACCAATCTCTTTGGTCATTGGTCCTGCCCACTTATAGGTAAGTCAGGTAGTTGGGCTCGGAGGTACAGGAGTGCCAACTGTGGTATTTTATTTATTTATTTATTTATTTAAAACATTTCTATGCCACCCCCATTGCAACAAAGCCTCGGGGCGGTTCACAACATACATACAATACAATCAATAATTTAAAAACTGGTACCATCTCAGCTATATATTAAAATCTATAAATACAATAATAATAAATTAACAGTTAACAGCAGGGGTTGTTTGACTGGCCTAACGGTTTGTTTGTCCAACTGCAAGAGAAAGCAAACCATCAGCAAGAGTCAAAACAACAAAAGCTCTTTATTGGAGTGTGCACACAACAATACAGAGCAGCTTGCTCCTCCTTCATAAGAAGCCAGGACCAGCCATTAACAATCTGAATGTTTTTATACCTTTAAGAGCAGTTATTTTGGCTTATCCCTTCCCATACATTGATTCCACATTCTGTGCATTGTTGGCTAGAGAAAGTAGACCACATTCTATACTTATCTGAAGAATGGACAGTTAAGCGGAAACCTGTGTGCCAGCAATTGTCTTCTCAGTGCATTCCCAGTTTCTCATACCAGCAGAACATTATCACAACTAAGAATGCTGTTCCAGCTGAACATTTTCTGTTACACTAGTGCTACATTCACACACTACATGTAATTATGATGTATTTGTCTAGCATATCTATCTATCAAAGACATGTGTTATGTGAGGAATGTATAATCCTTGAACAAACCTTACTGCCTGGGTTCACATGACACAACCACACATGGCAAACCAGTGACCTAAAGGTGCTGTGCAAAACTGGCCCCTGACACAACATGGCACCCCATGGGCAGATGAACTCAGAGTGAGTGGCTGCATCATGTGAACCAGGTCAAACTGTCGATTTCTTAGCTGAACATTTTTTCTTTAACCAAAGGGACTGCACAGTTGTAAAATAGAATCTGATCATGGGCACTGCATTATTTTCCTTTTCTGCCCTCTTGCACCTTAACTGCATCAGAACTGATGTGCTAAGCAGTTCGTAGGGATTTGCCTACTCAGTTTAAAAAATCAGTTGGAAATTGGAGAAGTGAAAATGACTTGCCTGAATCTGGATCTCTGATCCAGACATTCAGGACAAGAAAGGGACAAACGGAGATAGAGAATAGTTATGAGTTCAGGTGTAATGGGGGAAACCATAAAAGAAAGACTGGAGAGCTGCCACCAGTCATGAGGACAATACTGGGCTACATGGACCAGTGGTCCAACTCAATAGAAGGCATTTTCTATGCTCCACTATCCATTTTCAATTTTAAACTAACCTTAATTCTCCAATATATGTGGACAAACTGTGCTTTGTTTAAACTTAGGGTAGGGAAGCTCCAGGCCATGGTCCAGATGTGGACCCTGAGCCATTTTTCTAAGCCTCAGCATCCTCCCAAAGCCACTCCTTTCCCGTTCAGACCACCCTACCTAGCAGTTCTTCCTTGATTCTTAACACTCAGTGGCAAACCAAAAGAAGAACATGGCTGGAGGTAGGGAGAGGAGAAATGCTTTGGCTCCCAGCCTGATGCCCTCAGTTCCCATCATTCCCAAAGAAAAGTGCCATCCAACACATTCTGAGGGCAGCGACTGGGAGAGGATGCAGCTTGAGACACAAATCTGCATAAGGAATCCATGAAGTGGAAGGTAAGTGATGATGTGGAAAGTGATGCTAAATGAAGAAATCCTCATCCACCACTAGGATGGAAAGCAAGGCTAATTCCTCAGGGCACCATCCACTGTGGCTGTGAAGTTGCTTTGGCCCTCTGTAGAGCTTCTAGCACCCACAGGATTGCACCCGTCACTGGCCTGCTTCCATGTAGCACTGCTTGAACAAGTCCCAGTCATTCCCCTTGCTCAGTCTATTATTCCTTGCCTTCTTTTGAAATCTTCAATACTTTTGCCTTCTCCCACCCTCCTGGATTGTTCTTGAACCAAAATATGAAAAAACACACTTCCCCTAAGTCAGACATAAATGGGATATTTGTGTCAATCCAAAGTTGCTTCCTCTCATAGGCATGAGAACAAACAAGAGACTGATCCCTGGCTCATCGCAGGAGGCTGCCTGTGGCTCAGCCCTAACCAGTGTTAATCTGCATTATTGATTATATGCCAATTAATTGTTAGTGTTAGCAATTCGTGTTAATTATACATAATACACAGATAGTATTTCATGATTTAAGGACAATAGATAAACTTGCTGAAACCTAGAAAGCTATATCTAATGAAGCATGTGAATTATGGATTTTGCATTGCTTTAATGAATAAAATAAACAGTTCTGCCTATTTCTAGAACTCTTCAGTAACTGAGGAGCACATATTGCACCTCTTCAGCTACTAAATTTGCTTGAAAACTAATAAATTACCTTAGAACAGAAGCTGCAAGTTGTAATGCTGAAGATCATAACATCATTTTGATCTACAAGTGTCTGGATTGTTAATTTCCAGTCTCCTTTGTTAATACTGACTTTATTCTTTCTTCCCGTGCAGCAAATTTCAGGTGCTTTCTGAGTAGCATCTTCTGTTGATAAAAGAAATCAAAATGACTTTGTTACAATAAAATAGATTAGAGATGCAAGGATAAAAAAGTTGATTATTTATCTTCCACATTAAAAAAAAATCTGATTCCCCGTTGAGGGGGGTGGGGTGAAGTGGTATGCGAAGAGGTTTGCCGACACGCTCTTCCCCAACGGGGTAAGGTGTGAGGGGGGCAAAGTTCCCCTTGCCCAGACGCTGGATGGAGGAGTCTTCCTTCATCTTGCATCGCAGTGGGGGCAGCTTTACAAACACCATGTCATCCCCACACGAGGGAGGCACTGGTCCCCATCCAAAGAACCAGCACTCCAGCTGAGGGGGAGGCAAAGGACATCAAGCGTGTGGCCACATTCCCAGTGTGATCAGGCCCATGATGTTCCAGGTGAGCAGTGGGCCACCCCCCCCACCCATTTATAGTTCCCCACCCTGTTCTAGCTCCTCCTGTCCCACCTCTTCTGGGTTCCCTGACTTTTGGGGATGAAACAGGCATGTTTCAGGGCCAGGGTGGCACAGACTCTTTGGATGAGGGCGGCGAGGCATGGGAAAAGAGGTCTGCAGACACAGAGATGGCAGAGGGGAGCAGCTTAGCTCAAGGCCAGGTGTTCAGGCAGGCTCTGGAAACAGAGCCAGAGTCTGGTTCAACCCTTGACACTGACACAGTGTCAGGAGAGAAGTGCTAGCCAACCAGAGGGCCGGAGTATGGCTAGGAGTCTTGCCATCTCCAGAAGGGCACTCCCAGAGATGGGGTCCACAGTTACTGAAAAGGAGGGCTCTTGGAAATAGTTTCTCACCTGGATTCAACACACCACTCTGTGCATGCTCAGAGACTTGTTCTTTCCTGGCTATAGCTTGCTGGATGTACATTGGAAATAAAGCTCTTTTGCCAAAGGGACTGTCTAAGGTTTGAAAGAGAGAATCGGGGAACCTGGCTCCTGACACTGACAAAAAAGAGGCTAGAAATCACAGTTCACTCTGTCAACTATCTCAAATGTTGGATCCTTTGAATGCCTGGATGAGAGGTGTATACAGGGGGGCAGGGGGCAGTGGTAGGCCAAAAGAGTGCATGTCTTCAAACGAGTAGAAGGAAATGGGATGAAAATTACAGGTCGTTTTTGAGGGCGCATGCCGTGATGTATGCTGCTGTCAAAATGATGGCTGCATTATCATTATTTTTTTTATTTTTTTTATTTATTAAAACATTTTTATGCCGCCCCATTCGCCGAAGCCTCGGGGCGGCTCACATCAATAAATTAAAATAATTATAATATAAATTAAAATATAAATATAAAATTAAAATACAACGGTACAGTATAAAATAAGCCGCCCTGGCCAGATAAAACCAATAATGTTAACAGTTAAAATGCCACTTGAATAAAAAGGTCTTCGCCTGGCGCCGAAAAACAAATAACGACGGCGCCAGGCGGACCTCTCTGGGGAGCGCGTTCCATAACTTAGGCGCCACCGCGGAGAAAGCCCTCCTCCGAGTGCCCACCCTCCTAATTTCTTTCATGGAGGGTTCCCGGAGAAGGGCCTCCCCCGCTGATCTCAAGGGGCGGCTGGGCATATATGGATGCAAGCGCTCCTTCAGGTAACCAGGACCCAAGCCGTTTAGGGCTTTATAGGTCATCACCAACACCTTGAATTGGGCCCGGACTTCAATGGGAAGCCAGTGAAGCTGACGGAGAACTGGAGTCATGTGAACACAACGCCCAGTCCCCGTCAGCAGCCTGGCAGCTCTGTTTTGAACCAGTTGAAGTATCCGGACCGTCTTCAGGGGTAGCCCCACGTAGAGCGCGTTACAGAAGTCGAGACGGGAAGTCACCAATGCATGTGTCACTGTCGCAAGGCAGTCATACTCCAGATAGGGGCGCAGCTGGTGGATCAGCCGAAGCTGCGCCCCTTTTTTCATTGTTTTTCCTCTTCCCAAGAACCCAAGGCAGCTCTCCACTTCATTTTTATCCTCACAACAGCCCTGTGAAGTAGGTTAGGCTGGGAGTGAGCGACTGGTCCAAAGTCACCCAGTAACCTTCCTGGCTGAGGGGGACTCAACCCCAGGTCCTCTGTGGCCCTCTGCAGTGCTCTAACCACCACATTACATGCTTTTTAGGGTCATGACATGTTTCCTTCAGGTCAAACGCAATACGGACATGAGGTACAAAAGCCACATTAATCAGAGTCACTTGAATACAGTGACTCACTTGAATACAGAGCCACTTGAGTACAGCAACTCCAGCCTCCTCTTTGATAGCTTTATACATGATTATGGCCTATTTTTGGCAGGTGTACAGGGATTCAGCTGTGCAGCTTCAATTAAAGTTAATGGGGATGTTTTCATTCAACCAAATAAATTAGGTTTTAACCTCAAGACATTGCTAAGAGGATTCACAACATAAATTACACAAACTGAGCTGCAGAACAGGATTCATACAGAAATGAATCCTGTATTTCCTGAACCATCTCAACCCCTTTCTGGTTTAAACAACGGAAGGCTTTCATCATACTGTTTTCAAAGATCAGGAGTAGATCCGGAATGGATTGGCTTCCAGGCTTCCTGTGGGGAAAAATGCAACTATCCGAATGGAGGGCAGACCCAAGAAGCTCCCTAGCACAAGATTTTGACCAGTACTGTTGACTCTAAGTGGCAGCAGTTTCAGGCTCTGAAACTCTCGTGGGTCACAAGGCAGAGCTCTTTCACATCACCTGCTTCTTGGATCTTTAAATAGTAGGTTCCAGGGGTTCAGCCTGGGACCTTCCGCATTCAAATCATGCCCTCTTCCACCAAGCTCTGATTCTTTCCCAAATGTACCCACTATCTAGCAGCAAGCCATGGGCTAATTTTCTTGCTGGGAAGAAAGCACCTGCTATTACTGGTGTGTTAATTATGATGAATTCAGTGAACTTTGGTCTCATCTAATATACTTATATACTTAAGCAAGAGTGTGTAAGAGTGATCACTTAGCAGATTTGTTATGCCCCTTGACTTCCTACTTCATAAAAGATCCTGAGTATGTATACTTACTTGATGGACCATGGGAAATATAGTGTGTCACACACACACACACAGGTCATCCCAGTTGTGATTTCCAGATGGTAGCCATGCCAGTTTATTTCCAGATGGAATCGTTCTTAGTCTACTGGCTAACCTTCAAGAGGTCATCTTGAGTTATCTTTAAAACTAGCCAGTACCAGAATAAATGGGTTCATCTTTAAGGTACCACAAAGTTATTTCTCACTTTTCCTTCATTGTCTATCATAGGTTTGTTGAATGGATATGTCATTGGAGATGCTGCATTAATTCCATGTGAATGCACTGCAGTCAAGCTCATGAGCGCTGCACTTCTTGCATTAGATGTTGCTGAATCACATTTTAACCATCCTTAGGAACAGCTCCCACGACTGACAAACAACTGTCTGCCAATATAAGCAACGGCAACTAGTCCTACAGCAGAACAATTTGGTGTCACCACCTGTTACTCAATTCATATAACTGTTTAGTTATGAGACTCTGCCTAAAACAGAGGCAGGCAAACTGGTGCCCTTCAAACAGTTTGGACTGCAACACCCACAGTCTCTGGCCATTGGCCAGCTTGCTGGGGCTGACCTGGTTGCAACCCCCTGGCCTAGAACACCAACACCTGTTAAAGCAGGACTGGGGAAACCACCCTGTGCACACGTGTGTCCTTGAAAACCAGCCCTTGTCAGGATGATGGAAAGTGTAGTCAAACAATATCTTGAAGGCCACGGGCTCCTCAGCACATTCTAAATTATACACTGACATCTGTTGAAGATTATTGTTCTCTACTATTGCATTTTTTCTCTTTTTGTTTTTCTCCTTCCATCCCTTTTTATCACTGGACTACACAGCAACCAAAGATGGGATCCAGTGTGCCTCTAACAAACTTCTGACTCTTGCATTCCAGATGGCCCGGCTCATGCCAGTCCCCAAGCTGCCAAATGGGGCAGAGCAGGACAGGCTATGCACAGTTGGTCATCACTTAATTTACTCCCCAGTGGAAACTTGTTGCTGTGCCATTAAGTGTCATCAACCTACATCTATACTATTATGTTCTCCATTAAAATAAAGACCTGAAAATTATTTTCCTGTGCAACAGCTCATGTAGCAACTATCCCCAAAAAACCTCCCCAAGACATTTTCCATTCCTTTTATGTGTACCCATCAATAAGTGATGAGTCTTCAAAAGCATTCGGTTGCCTTTATATAAGTGGGGTCCACATTTCAGAGTTCCTTCACAATCAGAGATGGAGATAGACCTGAAAGTAATCAAATATAAATGTGTTTTTTTACACACACACACATCTTTGTATATGAAGTATGTTGATTGGTGCAAGATTTTCCCAGCCTAGTGCCTTCCAAATGTATTGGATCACAACAGCCATGCTAGCTGAGGATGATGAGTGTTGTGGTACAGAACATCTGGAGGATATAGGTTAAGGAAAGCTGATCTAGATATCTGGAGCACAACAGCCTGGTTCTCACATGGTTATATTACAGTTCTCAAAAGTCAAGCCAATTTGAAGCTGTGATGGAGTGTCTAATCCAGTTCACTATGTGTGAACTGCCATACTGTGTGCAGGTGGGAATGTCACATAACACCCTCTGATTGGAAGCTGAATATGCAAAATGGAAGTGACAGGCATTGGACATGTGTCACAGCAAATTCTGGGTTAAGTAACCCATGATTTGCTGCTGTTATTTCTAGACCAGGTTTGTGTATATGTGAATGATGGAGATGTAAGAACATAACAAAGGTGCTGCCACTCAGATCACTGTGTCATTAATTTTCCAAAATGCCCCATATGGCAAGACATTCTATCCTGTAAAACTGCATCATAAACAGATATTTCACGTGGGCATGCCAGTGGT